CTCTGACACATTTTCAGGCAACTCTTCATAAGGTGGGAGTCCTGTTAACAGATCCACTGGCAACCAAAGTTCCCGACCAAAACCTAACTTTGCTGGAGTGTATCCAGTGGCTTCATGCTCTGCTGTTCTATAGGCCATCAACAGTGGAGAGAGTAAGACATTCCAGTCATCTTGGCGACTATTACAAAACTTTGCCAATTCCTGTCAAATTGTACTTTTCTACCATCTCATCAGACTGTGGGTGAAGTAGCATTGTTCTAATCTTTCGTATGCAAACCACTTGCAGCATTCATGGAGCACAGCTGATTCAAAGTTACGGCCTTGATCTGAATGTAGTTCATATGGCATACCAAATCTGAAGAAGAAATCACTAATAGCCGAAGCTACAGTTGTAGCTTCCTGATTTGGTATTGCATATGCCTCCGGCCACTTGGTGAAATAATCCATCACCACACAAATGTACCTGTTTCCAGCACGAGTTTGGGGCAAAGTACCAGTAATGTCAACGGCTCCTCTTTCCATTGTGAGCCAATTTGATATAACTTCATTGGAGCACGTCCCTCATGCTTGAGTCCCCTTTTAGCACAACATGTACTGCATGTTCTGCACTATTCTTCCACATCATGCCTCATACATATCCAGTAACATCTGTGTCGTAGATGACTCAATGTCTTCTTAACTGCGAGATGTCCTCCTGTTAAAGTATCGTGGGATTGACGCAGCACAACCTCCCGTAACTTTCTCGGTATAACCGTTTGCCAGGACGTCACTTTCCCATCTGCAGTTTCCCATCTCTGGAGAAGAATACAATTTTCAAGCTTCAACTGGTCCCATTGTGCCCAATAGTTCTTTATCATAGGGCTTAGACTAGACACCTTCTCCCAAGCAGGGCGCAAAACACTTGCTTTTAGAAAACCAATTATTGGCTTCAAGTCTTGGTCTTTCTCCTGCTCTGACTTAATATCTATACATGGTTCCATTTCACCATCATCAACTCCTTCAGTCACTTCAGCTTGATGACACCTGGTTACTTCAACCTCTCTCTTGCAGCAATGTCTGCAGTCATTTTTGCAGGGTCTTCGGCTCAGTCCATCGGCATTACCATGAGATTTTCCTTCTCTATATTCAATATTATGATTATACTGCTCTATCTTTCCGATCCAACGTGCCAGTTGTCTCTCTGGGTTCTTTGAGGATTTTAACCAGCATAACGCAGTATGGCCTCTCATGATGGTAAACCTTGCACCATAGAGGTAAGGATGGAAATATGTCAGACCCTTTACTATAGCAAGGAGTTCCCTCCTTGTTACAAAGTAGTTCCTCTTTGGTCTACTCAAAATCCTACTGAAGTAGGCCACCACATGTTCGTTTTCGCCCACTTTCTGAGACAACACTCCTCCAATTCCGACATTACTAGCAACACAATCCAGTATGTACAGCAGTGAGGATCTGGAAGCTTTAAAAGTGGAGAGGAGGCCAATTTTTCCTTCAACGTCTTGAAAGAATGCTGGCAATAAACTATCCATTCAAACTTCTGGCCTTTTTTAGTCAAATCATGTAGTGGAGCAGCTATAGTTGCAAAGTCCTTCACAAACTTCCGGTAATAAGTACAGAGTCCCAAGAAACTTCTTAACTCTCCCACATTGTCTGGTGTTGGCCAGTCACGCACTGTTTTCACCTTGTCAGGATCAGTTTGCACACCATGCTCACTTATATTGTGACTTAAGTAAATCACCTCTTTTGCGTCTTTTTCGGTTATACTGTTAAGATCCCTGAAGACCACACAGCAACGTTGGGTTCCATCCTTCTTCTGGACTAACACGACGGGAGCTGACCAAGGACTATCTGATTTCTCGAATATCCCTTCCTTAATTAGACCATCCATGACCTTCTCTATCTCTTGTCGCTTTGTTAGAGCTATTCTCCTTGGAGGTATCTTTATTGGACGGTGATTGCCTGTGTTTATTCTGTGCTCTACCAGGTTTGTGCAGTTGAGGTCATGATCTCCTTTCGAAAAGACGTCTGCATAATTTGCAAAAAGTTCTTCTAACTGAAGAGCCTGTGATGATGCCAAATGGACTATGTTCTTCTTATAGATTTAAGTCAATTGTTCTGGAAGTGTATGTCCTTTCTTTACAGTTGTATTTCTTGCTTTAACATTGACTGACTCTACCTCCTGGCACACACCCAACAATGCCCATTCCTTAAATGTCTGTTCACATTTAGAGAAATTGGCCACTGTTATAGGTACTACTTGATGACCTGCCACAAGTGGCCTTCCAATCTTGGATGGATCTTCCACTGCTTCCACAAGCATTGGGATTCCTTGAGGATGTTCTTTTATCTTACCCCAAATTATCTTCTCTGACATAGGAGGTATTGTAGTTGACTTAAGTGCTGTGACATGCAGATCAACGGATGCAGCCACACTTACTGGAATCTGGCCTTTGTTTCCAAACGTCATTTTTTCGAAGTTAACTACACACTTCCTCGGTAGTAGATAGTCCAATCCTAATATGCTAAGTATATTTTCTGTCTGTTTTTCATGCCCATGAGCTCAATAGTTACCCACACTGGTCCCCACAACCTTGCATAATGCCCTGTCACACCACACAACTTCTGGTACTCCTTTGTGATCCAGCACCTTGATACTCATAAGGTTTACTGAGATGCAGAATCTATGACAAAGTTGCACCTTTGGCCATCCAGCTTCCCTGTCACATAGACACTATGTGTGCTTGCCATTTAGCACCAACCACTACTGGTTTCCCGAAGCTGACTTATTGGTGGTATTCTTCTTATACTGGCTCCTCATATGTCCTTGCTCTCCACAGTTCCAACAACCTTTCTTGGTAGCAGCCTTTCCTGCTGTAGCATCTCCCCTGTGTTGAAGTTGCCAACATTGAGCTCTCTTGTGCCCAGGTTTATTACAGTGCCAGCAAAGTCCCTCAAACTTCTCTGAAAGCTGCCCTTTTCTGGTCTTGAATCCCGATGACTGTACCAACCTTGGTACCTCTGTGCTGGACTTAACGTAGGATTCAAATTCAAGAGCTCTGGCCATTGCATCCTGCATAGAAGAGGGGTGTGCTTGCTTCACTTGCATTTTCAGTTGTGGACTGTCCAAGGTGTCTACAAACTGATTCCTCAGCAACAACTTGAGGAGATCGGGTGGTGCAGTTAGGTAGGCCTTGTGTGCCATACTTTCCAAGTCCTGTGCCAACTCTTGCAGGCTCTCCCCTTTAGCACGGACTCTCGTCCTGAACCTAGCCCTGTAGACTTCAGACTCATTTTGAGTCCCATACCTGAGTTCCAGAGCCGCTACCAGTGCTCTATAGTTGTGTCTGTCGTCTGCTGACAACTGTCCAAGTATTTCCAATGGTTGTTCCTTCAAGCTCGTTGCCAGATATACTGCTTTCTGCTCCTCTGTCTATCCATTCATCTCTGCCGGGAGCTCAAATTGTGCTCTATATGCTTCCCACGATGCCTTCCCATCGAATTCCTGTGACTTCCTTCGTATTGGATCACCCTATTGCTAACATTCATATCTGGGATGTGACTTCTAACAGGTGCTGAAGATGTCTGCATTAGGGTTTAGCTGCAGGGTCCGGAAGGGCTTCCCATTATCTGGGGCTGATTAAGTTGATGGTTAATTTATTCTCCTTGTGTAAAAGACAATAGATCATCCTTTAATGTCTTTAATTCGCTTTGAAATTTACCAATGTTTTCCATTTGTACTTCTTGTTTCCTTTCTTGTTCTAGTTGCCACTGCTGTAATTCGTCTTCTTGTTTATTTTCTCGTTCTTCTTGTTTCCTTTCTTTTTCCTCTAACAACTGCTGTAATCTATCTTCATGTTTATTTTGCAGTTCGAGCTGCCACTGTTGCAAGTTTTCTTCCCACTGCTGTAATCTCTCTTCTTGTTTATTTTGCTGTTCGAGCTGCCACTGTTGCAGGTTTTCTTGCAACTGCTGTTGTCTCTCTTCTTGTTTATTTTCTCGTTCTTCTTGTTTCTTTTGCTGCTTTTGTATTGCTGCCATCAAATCTACTAAGCTGTAGTTTGATTTGCCGCTTCTCGTTTCCATTTTTTTGTCCCACTCTCTGACACCAATTTGTTACGTCTCTGGTCGTTAGTTAACTTCCCGTATAATTTCTTTCCGATGAAACTTTAGCGGCACAAGTCCTTTCTTAAATATAACTGGTTTATTCTTTATTAATACAACTTTGCAATACACTTAATTTCCACAAACGCAATAATTCACAACGAACGTCTCACGTGCTCGCTCAATAATACGTCTCTCTCTGTCCGCAGTTCAATTACCCAATGTAGCCGTCACGTCTTGACCGTCTTATATGTAACAGAATACCGAAATCTAGTAAACGCTCGAGCATTTACGAACCTTCGATAATATGACGTGTTACTAGCGTCACGTGACCTCCGCTGTCGTAACAATATGATAAATCTAAAACTCATTAAACTTAAAATAATACACTTTATATTCAAATAACATAATTAATATATATACGTCAAATTGCAATTGCATATGTTTAGATAAAGTAACTGCTTTAGTAAAACAGATATATCTATAATTTGTCAACAGGCTCAAACTTACGCACAATTAAGAATATGATAATGAAGAACGGGTGAAATTATTAAGGAGCAGTCGATGCTATCATGCGTACTTAAAAACGTTAAAACCGTAAACTATGAAAAACCACAGTGATTGTACTAATCGTGTTTCTAATAGTTTTAGAAACATACTCTTTTATTTCGAATTCGATGACGAGGAACCCACTTTAAGACTAATAATGGCTGGAGACGGCTTGAATGGGTAATGAAGAAAAACTTTAATATAAGTTTAACATAACAGCAAATGTACAACGTTTCGACAAGGTTTTGTCATCATCAGGTACACTGATTATGGAACTCAAACTTAAAAAATATTTACAATTTAGTTTATAAATATAATTAAATGTTTATTTATATACTGCCACTAGATGAGGTAACAATCGTTTTTGAATTAACATGGCTGATAATATTGATTTTGAAGAAATTTTTGGAAGTGATGATTCCAACGTTGGTATGAACTATGAAAATAGATTTCTTTATAAGATGTCATTAGATTTTAAAGAATAACTTTTAAATTAATAGATGATGATAGGCTAAAGGTTTTGATTGAAAGGCTTCTGACCTGTATACATCATGTTATAACTTGCAGTTACATGCTAGCGAAGAGGCTAAGAAATATTAATAGTAAAATTTACTTTCACTTTTCAATTTAAGTTGTTTCACGCAATAATTGATATTAAAAGTCGTGAGACAAGTTGAAATGATTAATTTATTATAGTTATTTTACTACTGCATTTAGCAATAAGCATATAGTATTCTACAACTATGTTACTTTTTTTCTGATCTGGGCTTCAGTTCAGATTAACTTCTCTTAGACAGTTTGTTCTATTTCTATATCTATCACAGTATCAGGCTAGTCACTAAAAACTTAAGGATTAATTGCCTTTTAGGCACAAAGAGTAGATGTGCCACGTGAATCTTAACATCAAGGCTGAAATAACAATGACGTTAGGATAATTTCTGTAGAAGGGGTTGCTGAAAACCATTGAACAATTCATCACCCTCTGTATATACAGAATACCCATGTCTTGCAGCCACTGAACAATGGATCCTATAGACTTCATTTACAACTTCATGCCAAAACCATATGACTTCATTTGTTCTGTATGCATGTCTCTTGTACTCACCATATCTTGTACAAAATGTACGCCTTCTACTGCTGAGTTAGTATGTTGGAAATGACAATTTATATTTGGAATATCAAGAAAGTAGTGAATGAAAATATTATTGTACTGCTGCCAATCAAACTTTCTTCAAGAAATTGAAAATATTATAGGTTAGACTACATTATTTTTTAATTATAAAAAATTATATTATTTTACTATATTGTATTAAGACATTCAACTTCAAATAATGTGAAACAAAATCAGCATAATAAAAGGTTTAAGTATATTCTCAATACTATTAGCATGTAAATGTTTAAAACCTTATAACTTACATTAAAAATGATAAAACCTAGTACTTTCTTTTGTTGTGCATTTTGCTGTATAATGAATATTTCCAATTACAATTTTACCTGATAACATAATCATAATTAAAATATATTTGGCTTTTATTAATCATTTACCTTTGGTCTTGTGGATGGTCCATGGCATACTTGTTAGGGCACCCGATTGATATATTAAAGGTCATGTATTTAATTTCTTATGATAGCAAATGATTGTAACTTCTAATCAGAATAAACTGTGTGGTGAGAACTAAATTAAAAACCAACCTGGCCATCAGTATAGCTAATTAATATTTGAGGCCATGAAAATATGTATATCTTTATGAATATGCATTCTCTAATGATCAACAGATGCAGACATAACACATAGGAGTAACCAATTCATAATGCTAATTGCTCCTCTTTTTTATTGTATATTCTTCAAAATGAAACCCTCTTTTTCATAGATATATTTCTATCCTATTATAATGACAATCCTGAGATACCACAGAGAAGGGATTTTAGAATCACCCCAATACTCTCAGTAATGAGTTGCATAATGTAATAAAAATAGACAACTTAGCTAAAAGTGATATGGAAAAAAATTACATATGCAGCATCAACATTTTATCACAGTTAACTCAGCATCATCAGGACCAAATGGTATATGTAGATAGAAAAAAAAATTAGGTAAGTGGGCCTGTTTGAAAGGTAAAAATAAATATGAAGTGTTGTACAAGTATTCTTGTTAGTAGAGGGCTTCAGTTGTTTGGTTAAAGGTCCTCTCCAATTTGTCATTTTATTTTCTTGTTTTTTGTGAATAATCTGAGCATTATGTAATATTATATTTTGCAGTATTGTGATGTTCAAAAATGTATTGATGATGATGATGATCTTTTATTTCAGTTTCTTGATTCTTTCCAGTTTCTTCCACATAAAAATCAGAACAGTCTAGACAATTTCTTCTACATGTTATACTCTTTGGGTTAGCAGTGGGATATTTGTTAGATTAGAGATTTTGTTTGTAAATTTTACATTGTTATTACATGTTCATTTAGCATTATATAAAAAATGTTTTTTAAAATACCCATTTAAAATGTCATGATCCAGATTGCTTAGGAAATTTAAATTAATGCTGGTTAACTTATGATAAATCAAAATGGAAACTATGTTATTTCTAATTACTTGAATATAATAAAAGATTAAATTTAATTTCTTTGTTAAATTTTATCAAGGGATGAACACTGTTATTATGGCTTTAAAATTCATTAGCTTGCTTCTGCTACGTTGTTATGGCCTACAAATATGTTATCTATTTAATATATTTACATCTTTGTTGATTGTAAAGCTAATTTCAATCCTTACTATGTATAAATTACATGGAACAGCTGTAAAAGCATTATCCATTCCTAATCATAATACTTGTTGATAATTTATATTATTAAATTAGAAATAATGATTTTTTTTTATATAGATAATTCATACAAGTCTTTGCATGGTATATTAGTTCAAGGGTGTGTATTAATAAGGATATATTCATGTGTCAATGTTACATCTTTATGGACATGGACTTTCATAGGTTGTACAGTATAAATGACCCATGTCCCCAAAAACCTTAATACATAAACACTACTGTCTGAGATGGGGCTCTGAGAAATGACAGATCCATACCCCAAATAACATTTCCTTTGCGAGGCATAGCACTATTTATACCCACTTGTCTTTTACAGGTATAGCGATGTCATCCATACTTCCCTATTTCTAATTCCATTTTTATGTAGTTCAAAGATGTTTAAAATCTTCCCATACGTGCACACACATTACTATTTTGAATATATAGATGTGGAAGAAATGCAGGAACTTGATTAAAGAAACATCTTCGTCTTCCTCTACATATTTTTAAGATCACAATGCTAGAAAAACATATTATAATGATAAATAATGCTGAATTAATAATCAAGAACCAACATAAGTAAAACAAAAAAATTATAAAATCCCTTTTAATCAGACAGCTTAAACCTTTCCTGTTAACAAGCATCATGGTGTCACATTATATTTTTTCACCTTTGAAGAACAGTTACCTATTTATTTATATTTCTCTTCCTTTATCTATACCATAATTACTTGAACCAACTCATCCTGACAACACTAAGTTAGTTGTGTTGAAATGTCTATGCAGCTTATACAATTCTTTTACAATGGATGTCCCATTTTAATTTTATTGTTTTACTTTGATTCTAATTTTTATATATACATTGTACTTGTAACACTGACTGACCACTTTATTAGGAACTTAAACCAGGTTAGATCACCTTTTTTTTTAAATTGCCAAAAACACACACATATTTTCCATACTTCAAAATATACCCAATGTACTATTCAACTAAATATCGTCCCCCTGGGGTTAGTGATAAATCTGTTGACTTGTAATGCTAGAAACTGGGTTTTGATACCAGTGGTGATCATAGCAAAGATAGCCCATTGAATAGCTTTTTGCATTAACTACAGTGTTAAAGTCAACTAAATATCTATATGAGGTCATTATACTTGCATGAATTCTTGCAGCATGCTTTAATGTCGCAATATTAATTTTGACATAATTTTATCAAGAGATAAAAAAAAAACTTACAGTGCCACTATAAAGTTATATCACATTTATTGAACATACTAAATGATAATTATGTAATTATATATTCATTGTAATAGAATGTTTACTCTTTTTTTTAATACACATAATTTAAGATGTATGAAAAAACATTATTTAATCTGATATTGGCCTTTGAGTTTGTTTGTACACTAATCTTTCAAATCTATTTTAGGTAGAAGAAGCCCTAGTGGCTCCCCAGTAGGTAGTGAGCATTCTGAAGCTGAAGTAAACAGAAGTGATGCTTCAGATGGTGAAATTGCTTCTAACCAGGAAGATGGAGAGGTTGTTAGTAATGCATCCGATGAAGAGGAAGCAGAAAATCAGTCACAAAACGGTGAACAGTCTGGAAGTGAAAGAGAAGGGTCAGATAGAGAACAAGAAGCAGTACAAAGTGAAGAAGAACAGCAAAGTAACCATTCAGATGCTGGATCTGAGAAAAATGAAGTAGCTGAAGATGAAAGTGGAAGCGCTGAGGAGGAAGATGCAGTACAGTCAGACAGACAACATAGTGATGAATCTGAAGTTGAGAGAGAGCCAGAACAATCTGGTAGTGAGAGAAACCATTCAGATGCTGAACTAGAAGGTTCTGAAGGTGAACATGATGTTTCAGATAATGAACAAGGAGATCACAGTGAAGTAGAAAGGGAAGAAGTCCATAGCGATGCTGAAAAATCAGAAGTCCATAGCGATGCTGAAAAGTCAGAAGTCCATAGCGATGCTGAAAAGTCAGAAGTCCATAGCGATGCTGAAAAGTCAGAAGTCCATAGCGATGCTGAAAAGTCAGAAGTTCAAAGCGATGCTGAAAAGTCAGAACCTGAAGCAGATAATGATGAAGAAGAAAGAGAGGTTGGCAATGTTGAAAGGGAAGATGAGAATGAGGAAGGAGATTATGATGAAGAGCAACAAGATGAAGATGAAGAAAAAGATGAACAAATGGAAGTTAGAGCCAATCAAGAATCTGATGATGAGAGGGTATCAGGTGATGAGGATAATAGGCGAGAACACAGTGGAAAGTCAGAATCAGAGAAAGGCTCGGAAAATGAACAAGTACAGTCAGATCAAGAAATGAAATCAGGTAATAACTTTTCAAACAAAATTAAGTGTTTTTTTTTATTACTTTACTAAGAGGTTCTTTTTGCCAAAAAATAACAACATAAAATTGTAATAATTCAGAGTTCAGATTTACCAAGAAAAATTACAGAAAATTCTAACTTACACTAACCTCATTCAAACTTCCTTTATTTACCCTTTCTACTTCATCCCTTACAAGATATAAAAAGTGGCTGTGTCTAGGCACCCAAGAATGGAGTGAGGAAGGTAACCAGGAAGTGCATGTGGTTGGTTGAAAAATATGGTGTTGACCCACCCAAGAACAAGGGCCAAGAAACAAATACTTTTAGGTAGACATTTAGGCTAACTTCCATGTTTTTTTTCCTCAGAAGCAGAAAGCTCTAAGAAACAAAATTTACATTATATTTTGTACCTTTTTCTAATGTAATTGCTTTTCTACATGAGGCAACCATAAGTGGTTCTATTACTGCTACTTTCAAGTATGTGCATATGCCTAAATAAACATGGCAGAAAAAGATGGTTTCTATATAGGAAGAAGGTTTAAATCATAGAAAGAACTGCAGACAGCAATAACTTCTTTTAGTAAACAAAAGTTTACATAATTTTGGAAATGAGACTGCTGAAAGATTGGTGCACTGAGTAATCTGTTGCTAAGGATATTTAAATCTAAACTTATTTACTATGAAATAAAGTAGGCCTATATTGATGGGAGGCAGAAGTTCAGGCAGAAATCAACAATGGTTTGTCATCAAGAAACATTGTGAGTATGCTTACGACATCATACTTGTCAACTAGTGACATGCACTTCCCAGTTTCCTCCTCACTTCCTAAAAATAGGATTAAAAATTTCTATCAGGTCAGATTTATTATTAATTTACTGTTTTTACTTGGTCATACTTTACCTTACTTCTATTCCCCACAGTTATCTTAAAGAATTCCAGAACTGTGTGTGTACCATTAATTATCTTAGAAATCCAGCACTGTGTGCCATTTTTTATCACTTTTTTTAACATTGTGTCTCTTCTTAACTTCACACAAAAGTCTGCCATAAAAGTTTGTCTGCTATAAAAATGTTTGTTAGTGTCTACATCAAAGCTATGTGCATGAACATGATTATAACCATGTGAAATGTGGTGCATGATTGGCTGCTCATGTGAGTACTAACCAATCAGATGTGGTGTTTTATAGAATATTCAGTTACAGTGCAGACTAATAAATTATATTTTATTAAAACATTTATTCATTAAGTAAGATACATAGGCTAACAATTGCTAATAACTTCCAATCAAAGCAAACTACCTACATAGATTGAAACTTAAAATCAACCTGGTAATTTGTATGTTTAAAAAGTAATTTTTCAGTTAAATTAGAGCTATTATTCCATCAAAATCACCAAAATAAGTAGAGAATAGGAAATTTTCTGAAAAATTAAAAATAATTTTGAGCAGACTACTTAACTTTATGTTCTATTTCACCTTCTAGGCTGTTGATTTTTAGGTCATTTGCACTAGGTTCTAAGTTTGTGCAAAATGTGAAAATTGTTTGATATTCATTGTTTTATGCCCTTCCAATATTTTCTAACTCTTATTTTCTTTCTTGTTAATAAACAGGCTATATATATACACAATATGGTTTCATATTGAGAACTTCTGTTTCAAATTTAACACCTTAACCTGACAGTGTTGGATAATGCAAGAAACTTGTTGTTAGAAACATCCTCTCCTCCTTTTGTTGGTGATAAAACTTTTCAAAAATTAAAACTTAAAAGGATTAATTAAACTCTCAATGTTTTCTTTCATTAGCTGGTGAAATTAAAAATACAAAGAGTACCGTAACATGTAAATATTACTTATTTTTTGTTAGTATTTATCAAAGTGAATAAATAGATGCTTAACATCAATATTATTCTCCTTTTTAAACTAGTACAGTGTACTATTTACTCAAAATTTGTTTTAAGGGCCTAGTGCAATTCTTATATTGTTAATTATTTTTCAACATCAGCATTATCAAATATAAAATATTAAAAGAGAATTATTATGTTATGAGTGTATTTATTGTTCTGATAATATTATTATATAAAAGTACTTAATAATTTGTTTTCCCAATAATGGCCTTGTGAAGGCTGAAGCTCATCTTGAACTGATCAAATTGATTTTGTTATTATTATAAAATCACAAACCCCTAGAAATTACTTCCACTTCTTCAGGTCTAAATGCATCATGTAAAGGATTGCTTTGTGCATGGCAAATATGTACATATACTTTAAGCAAGTTCAAAGTCAACCCACGGTAATTAGTAAGTGATACTGTCATTTGCCATTCACAGCATTATTAGAATAACTTTAGTTGTATGAAGCTTTGAAATGCAACTAAATAAATTGAAATATATTGCTATTATACAGCACTGATGTACATATAGAATAGAAAAAGATGTAAATGGAGTGAAAAGATGTGTGTTACAAAAATGTTACCAGACATGGATTAAAGTAGAACAAGCTAGCAATAAAATTATTGATAAAGCATAGTTTTAAATTTTAACTTACTTTTTTTGAGCATATCTTGTTCAGAAATCTTTGACAAGCTGTAGAATCTTCTCTACAGTTTTATATCATTTTTATTAAGATAATCTAGAAATGAATATTTTGGTTATTTCAAGGTTAACCATATTGTGGTAAATTCTTTCTTAGTCAATAATTTTCTTCTGTTAAAGTTTTTAACTTCAAAAGCTTATATATTTCACTTTTGGCATTATATTAAATGAGAAAATGTTGTTATTTATGCTTTAATATGTTTTACTAAAATAAGTAAAATACTGTTTGTGCTATTAAAAATGAACATATGTAAGAGGATTTGCGATAACTTGGAATCCTGAATATTTCTTACATGTAATTCTGAGTTCGTGCAAAAAACTGTATTATGTGGGTACATTCACCTACAGGTTTTTAATTCACATGAATGAGAAATTATCAAAGAAATGCATTAATTTTCCTGTTTTCAGCTTATTTTGTTGTTTTTTTTTAATAATTTGAAACTACACTTTGTTCAATGTGAAAGATATGTTTTTTATAATTAGGTTACTTTTTAATCCTAAACTGTTGTACATGAAAATGTTTCATATATGCAGCATTGTATGAAACCTGTAACAAGCTAAAAATACTATTAATATTATTCATTGGGTTTATTCCTACAAACTTTCACAGGCCTACTTCACTAAATCTAAATAAGTCTTTATTAAACATAATTGCTCTTAGATTTAATGTGATAAAAATAATAAAGATTCTTGTGACAGCGTGATAGATATATAATTCAGTGAAGTCACTCCTATTGTAGAAAAACAAAGTTCAATTTAACAAAAAAACTAGAATACTAGATAACCTCTTTGTAAAGATTAAAATGATGCATAAAGTAGAAGTCAAAGTATTATAAAAATATTAAACCACAGTAGTATAATAACAGATGTTTTGGAATTTTAATATATAAGGATAAAAAGCATCATAAGCTTTTAAGGGAGAAGTTGTTGATGCAAATGGAAGCTAAGAAAAACACATTAAAATAATTAACACATTTACATTTACGTGTTGAAAAAACTGTAGAAAAGCATGTATGCTGAAAATGAAAAAATCAAACAAAGCTTACTGTACTAGTCGGTGTTTAAAAGGCACAAGACAAAAGCCAGATTTTATTTTTCCTTTTCACTAATCTTGCCTTACAAATTTTTTGACATTCGTTGAAAAGGTTACTGCTTATATAGATAAGAGTAAGTGTGTAGATTTGTTATATCTGGATTTTCAGAAAGCATTTGACGAGGTTCCACATAAAAGGCTCATAAAAAATTATCTATATAGGTGTAGGGGACAAGTTAGATAATTGGATAGAAAAGTGGCTGAATGGAAGAAAGCAGATGGTTGTTATAAATGTATTAGGTCTTCAACAAATTAATGTTGCTTTTTTTTAGATGAAAAATCCCAAACAACTTATATATCAAAACAAAACATTTATTAAATGAAATAGTCTTCATTGTTATTGATTATGCTTTTCCATCTTACAATTGGGCTGTTAATACCCTGATTAAAGAACCCACTTGGCTTTGAAGCAAAAAACATGTCGATATCCTCTTTAACACCTTCCACTTTAGCATACATTTTCCCATTAAGATGGCATTGCAGCGAATGAAAAAGATGGTAATCTGATGGTACCATATCTAGAGAATATGGTAGGTGGGGGAGAACTTCCCAACCCAACTTCATAATCTTATGTAGCGTCAAACATGCCACATGTGGACGTGCATTGTCATGGAGAAGAACATCTTACCAATTGATGAGTGAAGGGTATTTCTGATGGATGGTTTCATTTAAACATTTCAGTTGCTGACTGTAGATCTCTACATTGACAATTAACTGTGGATTAAGGAGTTCTAAATGAATTACTCCTTTGATGTCCCACCAAATGCAAAGCATCTCTTTCTGCGGAGGGAGTCCAGGTTTTGTGGTCAGAAGTGGTTTTTGTCTAGGACTGAGCCATTGTTTTTGGCATTTAAAATTCGCATAGAGAATCCATTTTTCAACCCCGTTGACAATTCTGTCCAAAAAATGGTTCACACACATATTATGCGGCAGAATGGATGAAGCAACATTCACACGTTGGAAACGATGATCATCGGAGAGTTTGTGAGGCACCCAAACACTTTCTTTGAGGAGTTGTCCCATAATCCTTAGATGTTTATGCATTGTTTCACAAGAGACAT